TTTTTTCGTTTCCCTTCATCTGATTTATACGCATTTCATATTTTGTTTCGATTTCAAAGAATATTTTCTTATTTGCATAAATTATGTAATATTAGTTTTACTTATCAATTTTTCTAGTTATTTTTTGAACATTAATGCTATCTTTTGAATATTTTTATTGAGTTGTTATTCATTAATTTCTCTTCCGTTCTAGCATTTACTTTATATTTCGCAATGAATTTTTAGTATAAAGTAGTCGAATTGTTTTCGAAAGTCTGTTGATTTTTGATATTTTTGTTGGAGTCTTATGAGTAATCATATTTGCATTTTGTGCGATAGCGTGGAGTGGAATAGGCATTTATCTTCATTCGTTTCGTTTGTTTGTGTTGAAGAATGTTTTGATGACTCATAGTCAGGTATTCGTACTGGTATAACTTGTTTGTGTTGAGTTCACTGTTGAAATGATACTTTTGCTACTGGTGTTGCTGTCGTTACATAGCTATGTTCGTTGTTATCACCAAATTCATGATTTTATCAATTCAGTCACAAATCATTACAATTATCAGTTGGGCGACCGCACAGGTACCGCATACGAAGTGTGTCACACCCCTGCAATTGATGCTTTTTTTGTAGAAATACAAAAAATAACGGATTGCATCGGAAACTGTAGAATTTTTTGCGAACAAAACCAGCAATCCGACGAAATAAGAGAGAGTCCTCTCGTGCGATTCAATGAATCATTGTCGTTTAGCAAAGCAATGAAATTGAATTGTTTGCATGATGAATTTATTAGTAAAATATTTCGATTGCACGATGGATGATATGAATATGATTAACGTGTCGTGATATTATGCGATGTTGAAATGAGCCGTTTAGCTGAATCGGAATTGATTCCGATTGCGTTTCGTTTCGTCCATTCCAGTCTTTCGCATTTGAATGAATAATTAACATTTCCATAATCGAATGCGATTATAGAATGGATAAATTCTAAAGAATATGCGTTTTTCGGTTATCTTTACAAATGTCTAATTTTAAAGCAAAATCTGATTGTGAGCTTGAGTCTAAGCCTAACGAAGGAAGTAAGACTGAGACCCTAAGCTTTTTTTTATGAAGCTCAGGGTCTCAGTCTTACTTCTCGCAGGGTTGTTGGGAAAACTACGAAAAGCTTTATCACTGAAATTGCCCAAACGTTTCGAACGCAATTGCACCTACGTAAAAGTGTGTTTCGTCTATTTATATTCTAAAAACTTTCAGGCAGACAGAGTCTTGTTTCATTGTAACCTCTAAATTGAATTGATTGACTCGAGAAGACGCCAAATTGATTTCATCCGTCACTCATAAATTATCAATAGCAGCTGATCATATCAACTATACAGTGATACGCTGATAGCAGATAAGATATCACTGTCGAGAGTCGAAGCAGTCATTCGACCGTACTCACTCAAATCATTTGTTTGATCATCACTCGATTCCGTAGCAATCCAGACTTTGGTATGTAACACTATTTCACTATTGCACTTATTGTTTTGATTAAGATTGTGTTTTTTTGTTGCGACTTATCATTAATCTCGAAACTGTTTTCGTTATTATCGTTGATGATAACACTCGTCGAATAACATCTGTTCACGTTAATTTCACAATGAGATTGTTTCGCAAAAAACTGCTCAGTGCACTCAAGACTATAATTTCAACGCATGACCTATTTTGAAGTAATCATTTGTGTGATTAAATGTGTCCATTTAAAACATTCTTTTATTCGTTTCATACAAACGGAATTGTTTTGAATCGAACAAACGCAGTGTTGTTTCAAAAAGGGCATTGGTTGTGTATTTTTCAAGTTTATAACGTATTGAACGGGAGTGCACATTCAAAAATGAAAGCATTCCTGCCCACTCGACTGAAATTATTTTTCATCTGTTTCCTTATTCATATTTCAAAATTGAGTGAGTGAAAATTGTACTTCAGAATTGGGTATTTTAATGGCTGAAGCGTAACACATCAATCCTATCCCCATATTATCAATTTTAACGAAATTGGGGCGCATTAAGAACTGTAAAAGAGTAAAATTATGCGTGTAGATAAGGGCGTGCAAGGTTCGAGAGTGTGTTTGAGTGATATGGCCTTCTTCCGTCTGATAGCGAATGGATGAAAAGACGGGGTGATTTTCATGGAAACGGTTTTCTATCATAGAAATGTCACAGTCCTTTCTAGAAGTTTACCTAGAATGCAGTTAACCAAATATTGCTGATGTATGTTGAAGACGATAGGTCAGTCACGAATTTAGTTCGTCGGAGAAAAGCACGGCATTGCATGGAGATGATTGATAAATCTGGGATAAGATGGGTGGGTAACCATTCCCAGAAATCTGGAAATGTTGCTTGCACATTATCGCTCCATTGATAGCGTTTTCTTTCGAGGCATTTATATTGCTTCGCATTGAATTTGTTTTATATTGCACTTGCTCATTATGGGAATTTTTATGTTCACTCCCGAAGAAACTTTTTCCAAATGCCTTTGATATAAATTAGTAATATGATTACGATTTGAGGGTATTGAAATTGTGAGATGTTCTCGTGCAGAGCACTTTTTAGATGAGAAATCAATGCTGAACGAGGGATTAGTCAAAAATGATATGATGATACTAAAGAGTTTCGATGAATTCAAGGAACTCTGGTTCATGCGAGAATTAACGAGGCCATATGATTACTGAGGCACTCTTCTTGTTGTTGAATTAACATCATATCCATTATATTTAATCTATATCATTACGAATTTATTTTCGTCATTTGTCGATTTTTCGTAGGAATGCAATAGTCAAATTTATGAACAAATAAGCAATGTAAATTAATTTTATTTTCATTGTGCCACAGATCTATTTGTTGTTATTAGATTAAATAACACAAACGATTACTCAGTAAATGACTACTGCTCAGATGTGAGATATCGAGTAGGGCATTGAACGGAGTGATTAAATTATTTCACGAAACAACACCCCCAGTAGTTTTGAGATAGCAATAATAATGTTCTGATATACTGATTGACAACGCAACGCGATAAAAGTGTGTGTGTTGGGCGTTCTGCGTTGGTCGATTTTATTGACGATGAACAAACAAACGCGTTCGTTTCGAAACGTTACAAGGACGGACTCGTATGGTGATGGTGATGATTATAGTGCGATGAGTTGTATGGGAATGTGATGAATCGATTGATAATGTTATACTCTTTCATGTGATATGTTTACATTCTGATTGATTTTGTGTGTGGTTTTGACGAGTTTACTTTTTGGAAGCTTTTTTTTGCGTTGTGTTTATGTGATTAGTTAACATTCAAAAAGTTTGATAGCTTTCTGGAAGTTTATCTGAGAACAGAGTTTTATTTTGATTACATGCACATGCACATGCACATGCAATTAAGAGCGATTGTATTGCGATACAATACTGGGACTGATGATGGATGGGTTGTTGTTTTTTTCAAGTAATATATGAATGAGCATGTCGAGCAATCGTGATTTGAAATATCCCATTATCAACTGTTGTGAGTACCTGAGAACAAAATCATTAGAAAAATTTTTTGATCATTAGTATAGTAGAAGTAATCACAGTTTAAACCGCTTATTAGCATGATCAGCACAACGATGATAATCACAACGTGGGTGATGATTTCATTTTGTAGAGAAATAAATGCTTATGGTAATGATCCAACGGAACTTTTAATTGTTATCATTACCGTTTGATGAAGTGTGCTGCAATTTGCATGCGTGATGATGTATATCCAATTGATATGCCATCATCTTACGAACACTTTTATCGCTGTCAATCGTTGAAGTAATGCGTCGTCAGAATTTTTGTTTTCTTAATGGATAATAGCATTCGTGCGTCATTTTGATATCCGTTTTACAATTAGCAAGACGCTTCCTCAGTGCGCCTTATCCTGTCAATTAATTACACATCGTCACTTCGCAGCGATTATGACGTGGCCTCGTTTTCGCTTGCGATTACTCATTCACCTATACGTGTGTTTGTTGTTCAGAGTGAGAATCGGTATAGGAGATTTTTATGTGATGAGTTGATATCCGTTTGCAAACAGTGTTATCAGTAGGGTATTGTTGTTATCAGCATTATGATCGATGTTTAGTGCTGCATCTGCATTATCGAGCATCATTATCAAACTGAATAATCATAATAATGTTTTGATCAGTTGAATGATCTCTCGAAATAACAATAATGATGATTTTATGGCAATTAATAAAAGTGAAAATGTTTCAGCGCAATGGAAGGCGCAGGACAAGAAGGAAGTGGAGCGCCCGGAGTAGGAGGTGCTGCACCTCAAGGACCACGACCATCCAATAAACGACTTCAGCAAACTCAAGCGCAAGTCGATGAGGTCGTTGGTATTATGAAGGTAAGTAAAGACGTCGTTCGTGCATTCATTGAATTGATTCACCAACCAACAGTAATTCTTCTCATCGAACAACATCATGCAGTGTGCAAACTCGAAATGTACACTCATGGTTTAATTGAATGAATTTGTTCGGGATTCAAAGAAAATGCACACGAAACAATTTCAAGATGCTACTGATGCAGTAGCATTCATCTGCATCAAAATAGATCTATATTGATGGAGATTCGTTCGTAACTTCGTCTGGAATGCACGATTATTATGATGCGAATCTTGAAGCTAACATCTCTGTAAACAGAAAGAAGTATTCTGTGAACACCAGTAAGTAGAAAGGACAAAAATAGTGAGATAATCATAATGCATCCATTTATTTCTGCATTATTTATTCGTTCAATTAGTCTCTTATTTCACCATCTATCATATTTTCGTCATGCATTAAGAGCTTCGTTAATGCATCAAGAGCATTGGAAATTTAGTGGGCTGTTGTCATGAAGACGTTTTTTTAAAATTCATTTTGAAAGACATTTCGCAGATGAGAATAACGAATCATATCCATCTTAGGATTATGGTTGGAGACTAAGTTTTGCTGGAGACAAAATATTCCGAATGTGGGAATTGGAATGAAATGAATAATTTTAGGATGATTTGTTATTTTTCTTGTGATGATCCCATT